TCTCTCTCTCTCCTTCCTCCTCTTCTCTCTCTCTCTCTCTCTCTCTCTCTCTCTTTCTCTTTCTCCCTCAGTATGTAAATGTCAGTTCGTACACGCGGAATGCATTCCTCGAAGAACATTGTCCGATGCATATCAGACATAAATATATGTATATGCTAAAAGAGATATACCGGGGACGCGAAACCGATGTTTGCCTCGAATATTGCATGGTAGCATTCTCAAGAAGCTTTCTCACAAGCGTTTCCACATTTCTGGTATTTCCAAAGTCCCCTCCGGCGAAACGAGAAGAAACGATGTTATTTATGTTTCATTTGTTTGCGTTTTAAAATTGTTTGACTAAAAATAACGCGAAGAAAGCAGAGAGGTATTTTATGATGTCCTTACATACCTCTTGCGAGGCAACGTCTTCGTTGATAACGTGTGTGCCTTGTATCAAACAGCGCGTACGTGCCGCATCTCTGAGAGAACATATCTCACGATGACTGGAAAATTCGTGGACGTCTCAAAAAGAAGAGATTACATATATACAGGTGTCTATGCTGTCATTCTCAAATGTCAACCCGCGCAAACGGGATGACAGAGATTCGTGGGGAGCGATGTACACAATAGAAAGCACCGTAACTTTACATTGCAAGAAACGTCAGCTTGGCGCTCGGGATGTGCGCGCGCAAAAACCGTCCGGGTTCTTGCGATACTTTCTTCCGATCGCGAGTCGACCGACGCGCAATTTTCTATATCCGTCACGCGTCAAGAGCCCGACGCGATTCGTAACTCTGTGAAAAATAGTCGGAAGCGACAGCACTCGCCGCGCTACCGTGAATCAGTGCCGCTCTGCTGTCTCTCGATAACGGATCTCGATCGCGAGACGAGATTTTCGCCGGTCATAACGAATCACCTGGCGAAGGACTGCGCGTGATGAATTAGCGCTTGTCACATGAAGGCGACAAACGGAGCGGCAACGCTAAAATTAATACGTTTCAGCGCGACACGTGGAATCTGCGACATTTACGATCGCACGAACACGCTTACATCTGCGGCCGCGTGCACGTTTAATGGACGCGTGTGTGCACAGCGTGTTTCTCTCTTCCTCTTGAGCTGATTTTATCGCGGTTAACTTTCCCTGGTATTCAACCATCAGATAAGCATCGCGCCGATAAAGAGCGTCGCACTTGCAACGATAAATCGGGTTTATTATCTTTCATCGAAAATCTGTGTATGATTAATCTTTTCACTGATTCACTGGCACGAACTTGCTACTTTGTTGGCGTTAATCATTTTTCAAGACCTAGCGCTTTCTATTCGACAAATTTCTACTTCTCTCATTTCTACTTCTATTCAGTGTTAAAAATGTGTAACAGTATTAATTTAAAAAATTTCTACTTCGTCTTGTTTTTTAATACAAATTTAAAAAAAGGGTGTAGTTTCTTCGCGTTTGCAGATTGATTTTTTTCGAAGCTGAATTAGAAAAGAATATTATAAACAAGTGAAGTAATAACCTTATATCTATTTGCGTGAGACATTTTCATATGATTATTTCGAGACATTTTCATATAATCATTTCTCGACTTGGAACTGGATATATATATATGTATATATATATAGCACGTCTGAATATAGATATGACATTTGTCCCTCTATTCCCTAGGTGAGAATTACGTTGATTATTCTAATTGCAAGCTACGAGAGTAATTCAATAATGAACCGTTTTGTCATCATAATGGTCATCAAATTAAACTTCGTATGAAAAGAAATATATATATATATATATATATATATATATATTTCTTAGATATATATAAAAAGTAATTTTACTTAAAAATGTGAGAAAATTATTAATTAAAAGACTTTTATTCTGCTTGTATTCTGCTTAATCTTTAAATATTAGCATAATCCAAAGTGATATAGATAGTGTTTTTTTTCCCTTTTTTTGATAAATTTAGAAGTACAATTATATTCTTTTTCTCGAATAAATTTAATTAATTTAAGAATAATTTAATTAATTTCTTGTCATTTTAAATGTGAAGAATTTTTTCGTGATTTAATTTAATTTTTTTGTAAAGAAACAGCAATTTTTTATTTATTCTATAGTAACTTATTTACAACTTAATATTTTACAATTGTAATGAGGAAAAGAGTATATTATTGTCAACTTAGAAGAAGGATTAAAAAATAAAGATGAATAAATGTTTAAATTAAAGAAGAAAAAAAATAATGTGATAAAATCTTTGTTACTTATTTAATTTCTGCAGTTGAAGAATTTACCAAACTACCACATTGCGTCGAATAAAGCCATTGTACTCATGTTTAATTATACGAAACAACAATCGACAATTATTTGAACTTAACAATAGAAAATTTTTTCGCGAAATTGACTTCTTTCTTTTTGTTATTTTTCAACAAAAGTACTAATGAGAACATTCTATTTATGGATTGCTCTTACAGAAATCTAATTTAATACTGGCCAATTTAAAACTAGAAATCACTAATTTTGAATATTAAAAGCATTAAAATGCATTAAAGCAATAAAGCACTAAAGTGCTTTTAATACTCAAAATAAATAATTAATTACTATCTTCCAGTATTAAATTTCTATAATGGTGCTAATGAGACAATACTGTTACTTTATCGCTATTTATTTCGAAATTGGATTTGCAGCTAGACTCGAAAGTAGGATATTGACTTGTGTCATGCGGATAAGAGCAACTGCATATTGCAACGCCATGCTAATAAGCGGCTATGTCATCTCAATTAATCGCTCAGCGCCTTGTCCGTCGTGGAGACGTGTGCCGGTTGGAATGTTGGAAGTTACAACGGGTATGCGCGACGGGGGCCGGGTCGGGGGGGGGACAGGCACAAGGCTTCCCACGGGGACAGTATGCGCAACTATCCGCAGTTAGGAACGGTCGCTTCGTATCGCTAACACACGTGTGTTACATGCGAACGATAGAACGGCCAAGGAGATACAATCATCGCACAGCTGCCGCGGCACGTTTACCCGTTATACCCGATAAAAATAAGCGGCCATGCGCATTCATCAGGCGGACTATTACGCGAAGATAATCACCGCATTCCTGCGATGGTGCCTGTCGACTTTCTTCTGGCACACGAACGACGCGCGCGACGCGCGATCGTGTGAGCGTGCGGCAGTTTTTATCGGTGTAAATTAAAACTTTCCGAAGCGCGCTCGCGAGGCTTTGTTGGCTTCGAAGTAGCTTTAAATGCGTAATTAACGAACGTTAATTATGTAACCTTTAAACATTGGAACTTCCTTCCAGAGGTGCGCTAAATTAGTTAACAGATCGGTCTAAAATAGAAAAGCGATAATTGGAAGAAAATTGGAAACCCACTTTGGTCGGGTCAAATTTCAGCATCAAAATTTATTTATAATTTCATGCATTTTGGCATTTCTGTTTCTTAATATTTTTCTATATATATGTATATCTTCCTTAAATACTTTTTTAAATATTTGATATTACATGGAACATAAAATTACAAGTAATGTTCCAAGAATTCTTATGCGAATTCAAATGTCTGAAGTGTGTTTAATATAATAATTAATAATAATTATAATATAATAATTAATATAATATAATATAATAATATAATAATATA